GAGAGAGAGAGAGAGAGAGAGAGAGAGGAGAGAGAGATCCTATAGATCATATATATGCTTTTTCTGCAAAACACATATCTAGCAACCAGGCAGGGAAGGGGGGAAGGGGATTTGTTGTTCCATTCCTCCTAGGCTTTCTTTCTTTCTTTCTTTCTTTCTTTTTAAAAAACCCTCCTATTCAAGAAAAAAAAATTGCAGGTTTCCAGATGTATGTTTGTACTAAAGATGGGCCCCAGGACTAAATAAAATAAAATAAAAATAAGGAAGAGAATATAGAGCAAATGGGTCTTCTTTCATCAATTGTTTCCTCTTCTGATTGTAGACAAGTTTGTACAGTCTTATTGGTTGCGTCTTGGATCTCTTCCAGGAAAAGATAGGTTTTCAGATTTGCTGAAGTATTACTGCTGTCTGTCTTTGGTACTGTAAAAACAAACTACTAGGGATAAGACTTGTGAATGCATTTGGCAATGTGGGTCTTTCTATTAGTTTAATATGCTTGTGTTATTTACATTTTTTATCTCACCTTTCATCTTTCATACTTAGGAATGTGAGGAAGTCTCATTCTTGATTTTATTGCATTTTCCAAATCTCATTTCCTTTCTTTTTCCACCCTTTGTTCATGTTAGCTACTGAATCTTTCTTCTTATTTTCCTGCACTGAAATGCATATACATATTTATGCATTTTTCCTATCTTTTCCCTCACTGGCTAAAGGGTATTGTGCACATTTCTCAGTTGTATGCATTAAACTTTATGCAATTTGAAAACTTCTCAGTAGGCAGTTTATTTCTCCAAAACAACTTGCAGATTTTTTTATAGCAACATGTGTTTTGGAAGGTGGCACCTTTCATATCTGGCACAAAATTGGGGAGGTTGGTAGAGGTGAGGAGCCACAGCAAAAAAAATTAAGAAAGGCACAGATTGAGAGAATTGTGAAATCAGTGGATAAGAAAAGAAGAAGGCATACGACAGAGAAATAAGCAAAAAAGCAAAGAAGGGAACCAAGTTATTTAAAATGGAATAAGCTTTGCCACTTAACTCCACCAACAATTTAAGGCAGGGATGGGCAAAGTACAACCTGCAAGCATTCATTTTAGGGAGCATGGGAGGTGTTTTTGCTATGTTTTTGCCCCTTCCAGGACAATTTAGGTTCAGGGGAACCCCTTTTGAAACAGGAAATAAATCATAAGTGACATCCACACTCTTCCTATTGTCAAAAAGAGCCTCTCTAGGCCCTAAAATGGCCCAGGAG